GTGACAGGTTGTGGCAGTATTCGGGAGCAGGCAATGCTGAGCGCGGACGCCTCTCTCCCTTGCAGCTTCCCGGATGAGGTCCCTAGCGCTTGCCTGTAAGTGTCTCGAACGCAGGATCCTCCCTGTGAACCTTGCAGCTTTGGCACTTCGGACATGCCAGGGAGCCCATAACAAGCTCTCCTGTCTTCCCTCCTTGATGCTTTCTCCTCAAAAGTGCTCTCACTGGCCGCTCTTCGCTTACCCTGAACTCTGAAAGATATTTTTTTTCTGTTTAATTACAAGGGTGCTTTGCTTTCTATAGGAAGGGGTCTCTCCTCCACGAAGACACTGACTCTGGGCATAACTTGCTGAATTTGGGGGAGTCTACTTGCCAAGACACGGCTTGGTTAGCCAGGCTCTCTTGCTTCCTTACGGATCTTGCTCGTCTCCATCTCCCGGCTGGGTTTGGATCCGGGTGGCAGTAACAGGGCTCCCTCCTTCGCTCGCCCCGGCGTTTGTCCCGCAGCAGCATCGTTTGCGGCCGCTGCATCTGGGCGGCGCAGAGCAGCGCAGGCCCCGCGTCCTGCTGCGTGTTGCAGGGCTGCTTCTGCAACAGGGCTGGGAGGCCAATGTTTGTTTGCAAGCAGAAAATCACCTCTGTGGGGACTTGAAAGACAGGGGATGTGCTTTAATTGCAGCTAGAGGAGAACCTTGGCTTGTGCCTCCCGGCTGCAAACTCCCAGTCAGGAAACTGTGAAGCAGCAGACGGGGCGCTGCCGCCAGCTCGCTGTTCTCGAGATGTGCAAGCGATGAGTGTTTGCAAAGCCCTGCACCGAGGGCCAGCAGGAGCTTTGGAGGCAGAGGGCAGGAGGTGCGAGAACACAACATCCCCCTCGGGAGCAGCCAGCTGCCCTGGCTCGGCCGCTCGCGTGGCCCTTTGCTCCCGCTGAGCAGAACAGGAGCTCCCACGTTGTGGTGAGGTTAGGAGATCCGTGAATTAGCCGGTGGAGGAATGCTGAGCGATGTCTGGAAGGTCCCAACAACGCGACATCCGTCTCCTCCTCCCACGAGGACAGCCGTGCTCCTCTGGTGGGTGTTTGGAGGTGCTGAGGGAGCAGAAAGGGGGGCTGAAGAAAAGCCACCTGAGGCAGTGAGTGCTCTGCCATGCCGAGCCCTGCTCTGCTGATGGCAGCTCACAGCCAGGGAGGCTGCTCTGCACTGCTTGGACTTGAACCGAGTGTCAGAGCAGGGAAATCAGCAGAGAGAAATACGATTTGAAGCTGAGCCGGTGGACTGCAGTGACATGGGATCTGGACTGGGGGGTTGGCAAAGAAGGAGCTTCTGTGACTTACCGGTCATGTGGTGGCTCTGCATCACGGTGTGGAGCGCAGGCTCTTGCAATTCAGAGCCTGCCTGCTTGGGACAGCCAGGCTCAGTGGGAGCTTCTGCAGATGCGAGGAACACTTTGCCCTGCAAGGTCTCCAGTGAAACTGTGAAAGTGTCGCTGTGCTCTTGGGCTGGAGACTGCTCTGTCACAGGTGCTGGGGCCAGACTGATACTTTGGAAGCATCTCCAGGATGAAGAGTTACTGAGGATAACACCTTGGGCCTGTCCCAGGGCTCGGATTCTCTCTATTTGTGCATCAAATTCCTTGCTTAGGAGCCCGTGATGGTTTTATCCCAATTCATTGCAGCCCAGACCACTGTGAGCTCTTGGAAATTAAATTCTGTTTAGGTTCCCACTCTATAGCTCCTGAATCGGTGGCTTGCCACGAAGGTGTGCTTTTCACAACCAGTTTCCCCGCGCTCCTGTGGGGCTGGTCAGGATTTGCTTGGAGCCGTGGCTTTGACAGTCTCGTCTCATCCATTACCCCTAGGTGAAGACTGGAGTGTGCAGCTCTGGGATGCGCAGCAGGGCAGAGAGCCTCTGGTCTCGCAGAGAAGCTGCTTTGCCGTTTGAACGGCGCACTGAAGCGGTGCAGCTGGTCTGCAGGGCTTCCCCGTGGCGCCCGGCCACGGTCTGCGCCTTGCGCCTGCGCCCTTGCCTTTCTTATGATCCTTAAGGTAACTTGAAGAGCTTAAGCAGAGAAACCAGGAGCGTGAATAAAGAATCCACGCTGCACACAGGCGTGAAAGCCAAAAGATGCAGAACCAAAGCCTGGTGTGCACCCTGCCTTAACCTCTGCCTGTGCTGCTCCAGATTCTTGGATTCCGGGTCCAAGTCCTGCTTTAACATATAGCCCGTTTCTCAGTGCTAGCAGTTCCATGAGCTCCACGTTTTAATTAGGTTGCCAAGAAGCATCTTCTTCTATGTTTTGATAAGCTGCCGTTTTGCTTTGCCCTCTGCCTTCTCTTGGTTCGCAGCCCGTGTGAACAGCGGCGCGGTTGGCCGCCGCGGCGTCGCTGGCTGTTTATAGGCATCCCACCATCTCCCCTCGCTGCCGTTTCCGGCCCGGAGCTGGTGGCCGTGGGTGGTTAACACTTCATTCAAATTAGCTGTGCCAGTTTATAGGCAGCCCAGGCACCGGAGAGATGAAAGAGAATACTCGATGGGGAGGGTTGCGCTGTGCCCTTGGAGTCACCTTTGAGGAACGTCTCCTGCTCCCCGGGAGCTGCCGGCGTGCCGGGGAGTCGCTCTGCGAGGCCCGGTTGAGGCCCGAGCGCGCGGAGCAGCGTCCTTTGAACCCCAGGGCTGCTTTCTGCCTCGCGCTCGTCTGAAACGCTGCCCTCGCTCCCGTCTGCTCCCCCAGCCCTGAGCGGGTGCATGGATCAGATGGAGAGGAGAGCAGGTCCTGGGGGACGCCGTGGCCTACTCTGCGTGCAGCTCTCCTGCTTGCACAGAGCAGCCTTGCTGTGGAGCAGAGCAAAACGTCACCCGGCGCTCCTGCTCGCGGGGCGGGAGCTCCTGGGGGCTTTTGTCACCTTGTCCGTGTTGTCCCCAGGTCCCCCCAGGGCTCTGTGCTAGCTCAGGTTGGGCCAGGCTGGGGGCAGCGTGTGCTGGGAGCAAGGGAGGGTTGCAAAGAGCTTGGAAGCAACCATCCAGACAACACACGTGTGGCTGGACTGCACCTGGGACCGCGTGTGGAAAAGGGGCAGAGCGGACAGGGGGGCTGACATCAAGCGGAGCAGGCTGGGCGAGGGCAGCGCTGTCTGTAGGAGCCACGTTGTGCCAAGGAGTGGGGTAGGAGGGGGAACAAGCAGTGGGGAAGGAGGAGATCCAGGGGAGGGAATCAAAGGGCCGGGCACCGCAGGGCTGCCCCGGCCTCCCTCTTGGCAGCGGCTGCGGCTGGTTCTGTGGGGCAGACCGCAGGCCCCTGTGTGTCCTGGGGAGGGAGCAGGGGCTGTGGCTGTGGGAGGGGACGCGTGCGCTGACCCTCTCCTTGTGTCCCCTAGGCTGGTGTCGGCGAGCGAGCGCGAGGCCCGCCTGGACGAGGTGCGATCCGCCTTCCTGGCCAGCTACAGCCGCACCATCGGCCTCAGGGCCGTGGCGCCCAGCGCCGGCGGCGCCATCGGCGGCCTCCTCGAGCAGTTCGTGCGCGGCGTGGGACTGCGCGGCAGCAGCACGCTCTGAGCACTGCCCCGGCCCCACGGGGCTCCGTTACACAGCCGGCCCCGGCGGCTCCACAGACGGCCCTGGCGGCTCCCCACATCCCGCACGGGGCCCCCATCCGCACGGGGCCCCCATCCCCGCGTGGCTCCGGCACCGCGCTGGGTGCCGCTGCGGCCGCCGGTGCGCGCGGCGCCGCCGAGCCCTCGGTGCAGTAAAGACCCGTGCAGTGCCCTGCGTGCCTCGTGTGTGCGCCGCGGGCGGGGAGGGGGCGCCGGGGGGAGCCGCTCGCTGTGGGTCGCTATAAATAGCGCGGCCCACGCTCCGCGAGCGGCGGCACCGGAATAGCAGCGCCGGGGGGGCGGACGGGGCGCCCGGCGGGACGGGGCCGCGGGACGCCCGGTGGCCGCCGCTACGGGACGGGATGGGATGGGACGGGGACGGGGACGGGGATGGGGATGGGGCCAGTGTTCGGGCCCGGGGCCCGGCCGGGCTGCCCGAGGCGGGC